AAAAAAATTACAGATAAAAATACCATATGACCTAGCAACTCTACTTATGAGTATATATATCCAAAGAAACCCTAAGCACTAATTCAAAAAGAAACTCCTATGTTCATTGCAGCATATTTACAATAGCCAAGATATGGAAGCAACCCAAGAACCATCAATAGACAATTAGACAAAGCAAGGTGGTACATACATACAGTGAAATATTACTGGGCCATAAAAAAGAATGAAATCTTAACATTTGCAACTAGCTAAGTGAAATAAGCTAGACAGAGAAAGACAAATTTCCTATGATTTCACTTATATGTGGAATCTAAAGAACAAAATAAATGAACAAATAAAATAGAAAAAGACTCATAGATACACAAAACAAACTGCCAGAGAGGAGGGGATTTGGGGGACTGGTGAAAAAGGTGAAGGGATTAAGAAGTACAAACTGGTAGTTATAAAATAGTCATGGAATGTAAAGTACAGCATAGAGAATATAGTCAATATTATACTGTAATGACAAAGTATAGTGCCAAGTCGGTACTTGAAATACTGGGGGAATCACTTTGTAAATTATATGACTGTTTATATCCTTTATATCCACTATCCTTTATATCTGAATCGAATATGAAATAATACTGAAGGTCAACTGTAATTGAAAAATAAAATTTGAAAAAGTTAATTGGAATGGCTATATTAGTATTAAATTAGATTTGAGTAAAGAAAATTACCAAAGGTACAGAGGGCTCTTTTATAGTGATAAAGGGTCATGTCATCAGAAAGACATAACAATCCTAAGTGTATATGCACCTAATAACAGAGCTTCAAAATACATAAATCAAAAAGCTCATGAAATTGCAAGGAGAAATATAAAAATCCATGGGTATAGTAAAAACTTTCAAAAACCCTTTTATTGTGGTTGGTAGAACAAGTGAACAGAAAATCAGTAAGCATGTAGAAAAGTTGAAAACATAACTTATCTACCTGACCAATTGACCCAAATGAATCATAAAACAAATTAATATATTTAAAAGGATATAAACCATACAAAGTATGTTCTGCGCTAAAATGGAATTAAGTTGGGAATAAATAACAGAAAGATGTCTAGACAGTCTTTTGAAATATTTGAAAACCAAATACCATACACTAAATAGCCCATGTATAAAAGAAGAAATTAAGAGGGAAATTAGAAAGTACTTTGAATTGAATAAAAATAAAAAGACATTAGAATTCGCCCTGGCTGGTGTGGCTCAGTGGATTGCATGCTGGCCTGTGAACCAAAGAATCACTGGTTCAATTCCCTGTCAGGTCACATGCCTGGGTTCCAGGTCAGGTCCCCGTAGGGGGCACATGAGAGACAACCACACATTGATGTTTCTTGCTTCTTTCTCCCTCCCTTCCCCTCTCTAAAAATAAATAAATAAATATCTTAAAAATATTAAAAAAAAAAACATTAGAAGTTAAAAAAAAAGAAAAGAATTCATGGGATGTCACTAAAGCAGTCCTTAGAGGGAAACTTACAGCACTAAATGCCTGTAAAAAATAAAGAACAGTCTCACACAATGACTTCAGCTTTGGCTTTAAGAAACAAGAAGGGGGAGAGCAAATTAAATGCAGATTAAGCATAAAAAAGAAAATAAGATCAGAGTAAGAACAATAAAATAGAAAAATAACAGAAAAAATGAAACCAATCTGGTTTTGTTTTTGTTTTTTTGTTGTTTTTTTTTTTTTTTGCAATCAATACAATCATTTCTCTTCTGGCCAGATTGATCAGGAAAAAATGACAGGAGAAAAAACAATAACAAATATAACAAATGAGAGAAGTGACTTCACATGAATTGCTACAGATGTTAAAAGCCAACAAAGCCATCACATGAAAAAACACTACAGACTAATAAGGATAGGAGGATTAGAGAGATATTGCTAAACACAATTTTAGCTAATAAAATCTATTTTCCTCAAAAAAACATGACAGTAATAATGTATTAAGTGCTTCAACATAGATCATGTCATTAACCTCAACATAACTCTTATTGAGATAATTTGTATTATTGGCCCAACTGAAGTAACTCCTTGACAGGTACATTGGTACTATGGAGCTGAGATTTGAACCCAGGTAGTCTGACTACAGATATTATCACTTACATGTGCCAAGTCAAAGTTACTCCTGCCTTCTTTCTGTAAGAGCTGGGGACATGCTGTTTATTATTGTTCATAATAATAAACAAAGAGGTCTGGTTATTTCCAGGTTTACTTAACATAATCCAGGTCTGGCCTTCCTTTTGTCTTTAGAACCAACTAGAGTCTTCAAGGCTTGGCCTACTTCGCTGATGTGTCTTATACATAAAAACTATCACCACTAGTCCGTTCACTAGATATGTGGTCCCCTAGATACATTGCTGACATTTATGATGAGGTGTTAGTCTATAAAGAAATGGAATTCAAAGTTGCTCAGCTTTACAAATGTCCAACAGCTGGTGAGTAGATAAATGAAGTGTGGTACATATTATCTACACATAGGAATATCAAGAACTACTGAGGCATGCAACAACATGGATAAATCTCAAACGTGTCATATTAAATGAAAGAGGCCAGACACGAAAGACTATATATTATATGATTCCACTTGTATGAAATTTCTAGAAAAGGCAAAACTGTAGCAACAAAAAACAGGTGCATGGTTACCTGCGGCTGAAAGTAGGTGTTGAAATTGAGGGAGCTATTTTGGAGTGATGGAAAGATTCTTAACCTTGATTGTGGTGATGTTTGCACAACTGTATACATTTAGTAAAACTCATTTATTTGTACTTAAAAATGGGTATACTTTATGATATATAAATTATGATATGTATTATACCCCAAGAAAGCTGTTAAAAAGAAAACACCCTCATCAATGTATGGAGACAAAAAAGGCAGGGGAATAGCTGTTCCAGTACATAAAACAGAAATCATCTCTAGATTCCACTGCTTATGTGGTACACTTAAAATTGTTTCTTGAATGAATGCCTGTCAGTCAGGCATTCAACATTTTCATGGTCTGGAGGACGTAACAAAGGACAGTGGGAAATATACTATGACCTTCTCCCTAAGCAGGCTCCAGTCTAGTGCAGGAGGCCAGACAAGTGGCAACACGTGAGAATAGGGCTGGTGAGGGCAGCCTTTTGGTGGCATCTGCCTCTTGCTGATGGTCAATACTGACAGGGCCAATTGCACAGGCAGGTGCTGCCCTCCTTCCTCAGCACAGGATCTGTCTCTCTCTCAGTGCAGGGCACCTTTTTAGACCAATGAGTCACTCTTGGGTTGAGGAATTTTGAGCCTCTGCATTCCTTTGCTGGAACGTCCATAAAAGTGAAAACAATCCCATTTTTCAAAATTAATATATAGACTGCCATTCAAAATCACACATGGTTGGTGGAAAAAAAGTGAGGAGGCCATTCCAAGTGGGGAAATGGAATGCATGCAGACCTGGACAAGGGGGAGAAGTTAGGACATGAGAACAGCCTGTCTGGGAGAATGAGCACAGACAGGAAGGACGGCAGCAGGAGGCGTCTGTGGGCGAATGAAGAGAAGGGTAGGCCAAAGGGGCAGGGAGCCTGCGAGTTTACACTTGGTTTTTAAAAAAAAAAAAGTGGGGCCCATGCCCTGGCCAGGTGGTTCGGTTGGTTGGAGTGTCATTCTGTACACCAGAAGGTTGTGGGTTCAATTCCTGGTCAGGGCACATACCTAGGTGCTTGTTTGGTCCCTGGTGGGGGTGCATATGAGGCAACTGACTGATGTTTCCTTCTCATGTCAATGTTTCTCTCCCCTTCCTCCCAAATCAATACACATGTCCTCTGGTAGGGATAATAAATAAAAATGAAAATAAAATAAAAAGGAATGGAATGGAATGAAATGAAATAAAATAAAGTAAAATAAAATAAAATAAAATAATAAAATAAAATAAAAAAACAAGCAGGGCCCAGTAAGGGGCAGGTAAACTCAGAGTAATGAGAGCTGTGTCAGGAAGAGGATGGAGGCTGGGAGAGCAAAAGAGAGTCAACCGTCCAGGCATAGAGTTGTTAAGGTTGTACTCAGCTGTAAAAAAGAAGAAAGTTTTACCCTTTGTGACAGTACAGATGGTCCTGGAGAACATGAAGCTAAGTGAAATAAGCCAGGCAGAGAAAGACAAATACCATATGATTTCACTCATAAGTGGAATCTAATGAACAAACTGCACTAACAAGCAAGATAGAGCCAGAGTCATAGATAGAGAGCAGGATGAGAGCTAAGAAGGTGGGAAGGGTAGGGGGTGAAAGGAATGAGCAAAAAGGAATAAGGACTCATGGACATGGACAACAGTGTGTTGTCCAACAGACTGTTGTAGGGAGGGTTATGTAAGGGACTGAAAAAAAAAATAAAAATAATTATGCCAAAAAAAAAAAAAAAAGGTTGAAGTCTTGGCCAACTGATGGATGTGAGAATGAAAAGGGAGGGGGGCGGTCCTAATAAACTCCAGCCGGGCTGAGTGCACACGTGACTGAGTGACTGAACCCTGACGTGACACTTCATGTGCGGGGCAGAAATGGCTGCTATATGCCACAGGCTGTGTATAGAGTCAAGGCTGCTGGACACTGTAATCCTGAATTGCATGCTCCCTGCAGCAGACAACCTCCAGCCAGGACAGCCCTTCAACTGAGAGGCTCGGATATCACCCACAGTCGCCAACGCTCAGAGATGGGCTTTCTTACTATGGGGGAGACAGTTCAATTGGTTTTGTTTTTTAAAAAACTACCTACTCAATTTCCCCTCCCCTGCACCTCATATCCCACAGCCTAGATCCTGTGCTGGATCACTACTCTGCTAGGCAGTCAAAGGTAATACTCATTGTTAAAAATAAAAAAAAAAATTGCTGAGTTTTATATTTTTATTGATGATTGAGGGGAAAAAGTAAAACTCACCACAGGAAGTGTAGGCTGTTCCTCAAAAGTATAGGCTTGTAAGCTGCCTCTTCTGCTGGAATGATTCTTATCAAAAAAGAACGATAATATTGTTAGGTCTTGGATTTGTCTCTGAGAAGCAGATAACATAGTGGGGGTTGGTATGAGGTAGCAGAAGAAAGGATGCTGGTGAGGAAGCAACCATAGAGACTAAGTAAAAGCACTCAGTGCTTTCAGCACCAGCACATGCATATGCTGATGCCTCCCAGCTTCCAGATCATTCTAGACTGCCTCCTGCATACCCCAATTCTAGGCTGCCTCCTAGACAGCCTAGACATCTCTCAAATGTTTAATAGATACCCCCTCGATGTGCCCCACGCTGGATTTGGTTTTTCCCTGTTCACACCGACTTGAACCTTGTCCAGGAGCTGCCCAAGTCAGGTGTCAGTCAGACACTGAACTTCTCCTTCTATGTCCCTTCCAGCCAGTTCAGTCACCAGATCCCATTCATTCTATTTCTTTATTGGCTCTCAAATATATTCCCTTTCCATTTTAGTTCAAATTTGTTGTTTTACAGTTTTAAGTTTTCATCATTTGTCACCTTGATGATTACTGCAGCAACATCCTAATAGATTTCCTGGGTCCAAGTCTGATTTCTTTGAATTTACTCTCATACCGCATGTTGCAGCCAGAGAATGTTCTATAGTGTGAGCCAGTCACATCATTCTCAGAGCCCTTCAGTGACTTCATACCATCACTGGCATGAAATCTACGGCCCAGAATACAATGCTTAGTGAGCTTCCTGATCTGGTTCATCCTGATGGCTCCCACACATCTCGCCCATGACCTAACCTCTGGATGTTTCAGATTCCTTGTTTCCCAAAAATCTTATATACTCTCTATCCTTGTATTTTTATACACATGCTGTTGTCCCTATCTAAAACATTTCAGTTTTAGATAGCGACATCAAAATTTACAATACACGTATCAATTAACTCAAAATATCCATTGTAGTATTGTTAAGAATAATAAAGAACTAGAGACAATCTAATGTCCCTCAGTAGGAGATGGTGCAATATCTTAAGGTTTATTTGCACACTGAAATATGCTAGAGTTTGATGATTTCTTTTTGTTAATGGTTTTTAAAAGGAGTAACTCTATATTTACTGAAATGGTCCAATGGCTATGATATAGCAAGCGAAAGAAGTGAGTTACAAAAAAGGTGTGTATGAGATGATCTCGTTAAAAAAATTACAAAGAAATCTATGTGTGCTCATATATGTTTATAAATATATAAAAAATGTTCAGGAAAGCCCTGGCTGGTGTTGCTCCATGAATCGAGTGCCAGCCTGTGAACTGAAAGGTCACCGACTTTATTTCCTGTCAGGGCACAGGTCTGGGTTGCAGGCCAGGTCCCTAGCTGGGGAGCGTGGGAGAAGAAACCAACAGATGCTTCTTTCACACATTGATGTTTGTCCCTTTCTCTCTCCCTTCATCTCTTTCTGAAAATAAATAAATAAAGTCTTTAAAAAAAAAGAAAATGTTCAGGACAATATATGCCAAACCATCAACAGCAATTAAGGAAGCATGTGTTAAAGGTAAGATGGAAGATTTAATTTTTATTTTATACATCTCAATACGGTTTTGTTAACCATGGCCATACAACCTTTTTAAAAGAATAAATTATGTTTTTGAATAAGTAATACATGCATACACTATGAAATTCAAAAGGAACCAAAGATATCTGTTCTGCACCCTGTTCTTCTCTTCAGAGATCAGCTATGTTACCAGTTTCCTGTTTAGTCTTCAAGAAACCTCATACACATATTTATTCAGTATCATTTAAATAATTTACAAAACATAAACAGGACATCAAACACACTGTTCTATACCTTGCTGGTTTTCACCAACATCTCTTAGGGGCTGTTCCATACAACATATAGATTCAAAGCCACCTTATTCTTTTCAATGGCTGCAGAGTATTTCATTGTATAGGTGCCATGTATTACTTTTAAAATTAAAATAACAAGAGAAAAGGGAATAGAATCTTATATGATTTATCATTAATAAGTCAATATAACTTAGCCCTCCCTGGTGTGGCTCAGCTGGTTGGAGCATAAGCCTGTAAACTAACAGGATGCAGGTCCGATTCCTAGTCAGGACATGTGAGTTCGGTCCCTAGTCAGAGCGTGTATGAGGGGTAACTAAACCATGTTTCTCTCTCACATTGATGTTTCTTTCCCTGTCTCTCTCCCTCCCTTTCCCTCTCTCCCCTTCTCTTTTCCTCTCTTTAAAATCAGTAAGCATGTCCTTGGGTGAGGATTGAAAAAAAGTACTGGTAATTTTAAAAAATCAATATAGCTTATTCTTTAAGTCTATGACTGATCTTTCCCACTCCTCTGACAAAAAAATAAAAAATAAAAATAAATGAATGGAAGATAGAATAGACAGCTGGAAAAAGAGGAGAGCAAGGGAACAGGTGGGCAGATCTGCTCTTGGATAGTCATAAAAGTATTCACAGACCATTGGTTACATTGAAGCTTCTTGAAGAACTTGCTGAAGCAGATGCAAACTTCTGTTAAGGCCAAGAAAGTAAATATCTTTTGTCTCTATTATAACTACTCAACTCTGTTGATGTAGAGTGAAAGCAACCACAGGCAATACTTAAACATATGGGTATGGCTATAGTCCAATGATACTGTAGCATATTGTGCCTGAATATTGTCAGCCCTCAATAAATATTTACTAATTGAATGAAAAGCAGGGGAATTTCAACTAAAAATGACCCTAGCATCTTCAGAGAATAATCTTTGTCTTTTACTGAAAGATCTCTCTTGAAAATATAGATTAGAGAGTTAGCCATAAAGGTCACATTATGGCCATGTATATTGGGATACTTGCTTCTGGACCCTACAGACAGCAATTTTTATAGCAGTTACTGGAGTGAGATGTCATCTGTCCCCTTGTTGAGACAAAGTGCATCAGCTCTTATTCACATATGTGTGCTGGTAACATCTGTGGAATAATTAAGGAGGAGAAAAAGCAGCCCCTAACATCCAGGATCTGGCCTGGCACTCATCGGTAGGATACGGACAAAATCAAGACTGCTTTGTAATCATGACTGAACAGAGATAAAATGTGAACATTTACCAAGCCAAAAATGCCAAATATCTCCCTATTCTGACAAAGGTGAGTTACTGCTGCTTCTTTACTAATTATTGCTGTAGCCTTGATATTGATAAGATTTGAAATACCCTATTCCAGAATTACCCCGACTACGAGGACACAAGCCAAGTCTTGCTTTCTTACACCCTCCCCTAAACTGCTTAATATGAGCCCAAATCCATTATGTCTTTACAACTATACTCTTACCAAGACACTGATGGTGTGTGCTCTCCCTTGCTGAAATGAATAATAAACCCAGCTTGTTCAATTACAGGCGTGTTTATGGTGATCTTTGGCTGAAGCGCATCAACATAATGGACATTTGGGCTCCAGTGACCGTTTAGATTATCCAGGACTCTGCTCCATACCATTAGTGGGGATATTTGAAAAATGATCATGCTGTAAAGTCGCAAAGTCCCTCATATATGCCATTTAAGACAAATTTTTCTCATTACAAGAAACAAGTTTTGTAAATATTTGAGGTGATGGACATTAACTAAACTTACTGTGGGGATCATTTTGCAATATATACATATATCTAATCATTATGCTATATGTGTTAAACTAACATAATGTTATATGGCAATTATATCTCAATAAACTGAGAAAAAACAAAATTTTATGTACAAGTTTGATATTGAATGGACTAATATATATATGCTATAAAATCCTGAAGCTACAACAAAATCTAAGAGCATCTTACTGAGCTGGATACTGGCTGGCCAGTGGCTGAATTTCCAGACATAGCAAGTAAGGCATTCAGTTCTTCTGCCAGCTGAGTCTGAACATCCAAGTTACTCGATGGTGGAGGTGATGAGAAGACCTGATTGCTATACATGATGCCTTCATCTTCTCTTATAATTTCCCAGTTCTAAAATGAACAGAATAAGCTTAAGCCACACATACTTCAATCTATTGATATAGCCTGTGTTTATGTAAGAAAAAAATGGAAATTATTTTTACCTCGGAAGACTCTCGGTTGTCTACACTTTCTGTTTCCTCGGATATCTGCCGCCTGGTGGTGAATGCACGTTGTGCTTGCAGTTGAATGTTACCATCCTCAGCATCTGTTAGGTTGTCCCTGTATTAAAAATATGAAAGCTATCGCCCATGTCTGAAGAGAGTTAAAATGATAGTCACATATTCTGTGATCATTTAAAAATTACTTATATTAGATCAGAATTTATTGTTTTTGGTCAAAAGCTATCTCAACATGCGTAGATTAAGTTGTGAGCACACTGGTACCTTATGGAGTTAAAATTTCTGTGGAAGTGTGTATATAGTATGTCTGACTTTGATATTTTAGTCCATCACTGTGCCTGGGATAGTGGCTGAAAATTTGTTGAATGAATTATCTGAATTTCACTAATAATTTTATTATATTACTTTGTCACGTTATTGCAAGAGTAAAACCTGAAGTAGCTCTAGAAAGTTCATAAAAGAGAAGTTAAAAGAGTTGCATGTACATCTTCTTGAATCAGATAGTAACATTTTCTAAACTGATCTTAAGGCAGGGGTAGAGTTCCCCATGCATAAATGTAGAGGGGGAAATGAAAGACACTGTAATTAAAAAGTTAATACATTAGCTCTTCCTGAAACTGATCAGAGGTGACTTCTGAAAATGGTGTGCTATTATTCACTTGACCCAGAAAACCCCACAAAATCATGCAAATCAAGAGGCTCAAATCTTCATGTTCACTTTAAGAACACTCACAAAACTGCGCAGGCCACCAAGGGGATGCATATTTGAGAACCACCAAGTATCTGAAAGATGTCACTTTAAAGAAGCAGTGTGTCCCGTTCCATTGACACAATGGTGGAGTTGGTAGGCAGGCGTCCCAGCAGGGCTGGACACAGGGTTGGTGACCGCAAAAAGAGTGCTGAGTTTTGCTGCACTTGTTTAAAAATGCAGAGTGGTGCTGACCTTAAGGGTTCAGATGCAGATTATCTGGTCATTGAGCACATCCAGGTGAACAACACTCCCAAGATGAGGAATAGAACTTACAGAAAACATGAGCAGATTTACCCACACATGAGCCCTCCCTGTCACACTGAGAAGATCCTTACTGACAAAGGGCAGACTGTTCCTAAACCAGAAGGGGAAGTTGCACAGGAGGAGAAGATATCCCAGAAGAAACTGAAGAAACAAAAGCTTATGGCCTGGGCATAAACTCAGCATAAAATAAATACTAACAAAAGTAAAAGTAGGAAAAAAAAAGTTACTACATTACAATTAACTTGGTTAATGGTCCTGGTCTGAGAAAAGGATATCGATAAAGGCACGTCTGGGTTTAGGGAAGGTATGCAGGTACCAGCTTGAGGGGTTGGCCTTTTTCTTGTACCTTTCCTAAATGACCCCAGTCATTTATTAGCTATTTGCTAATTATTATGCTAGCTATTTGCATTTATTATACCCAGACCATCAGATCAAGATTTTTTTTTACAAATATTTAATTTGTATTATGCTAGCTATTTGCATTTATTATACCCAGACCATCAGATCAAGATTTTTTTTTTACAAATATTTAATAACAAAGTTATTGTTAATTTATGTAATGTCCTATAAACCCAGTATAGTCAGAGGACCAGGTCTTACTGTGCTGTTGTTGGAGAAAAGATAATTTTGACAGATTTTCCACCCAAAATACTTAATTTGGGCTAGCTGAATATGATATCAACTATAGAGAAAGAAACGTGATTCTGCCCAAGTCAGGCTTGCCTTATTGCTGAATACACAATACGACAACTTTGCAGCGTTTTAGAGTGTCTTCAGTTTTGCATTCTGTATGTCGTTCTGCAGAGGTCAGCGCCTCTGTGCCGTGGGTCACTGATTTGCTTTGGGAGGATTTGAGCACAGAAAATACCTATGAAAGTGCTTGGGCTATCAGAGGTAAAATATGAAAGCCCAAAATTAGAAGGTTAATAGACAAACAAAAAATTTAAGTCTGTGTCAAAAAGTGGTAGACTAAAGAAAGACTTCAAAAAGTTATAAGAAATAAGAAGTGGAAAGATATTTGATAATGAATATGAATAAGGGGAGAATTTATTTACAAACATACAGGCTGGTGATAAAAGAAAAATGTCATGGAGGAAACGTAAATTAGAATGAAGGTCATTCTTGAAGGTCATTCTGTCCTTGATCTGTGTATGGTGAAAATTATGTATACATTGACCAGACTGGCAAATGGGTGTTTAACAAAAGACCCTTGTTATTGAATCCATTATATTTTACAAATAATTTATATTTTTTAAAATAGCGTACTACAGAACTTTAAATTTTATTATATTTTAGTAATAAACTACAACAAATCTCTAAGATTTTCTAAATTATTCTAAAGAGAAAAATGTACCTTTTGTGGCTACATAATATTAAAGACATACCAAATTGACAATTTATTAAAATAGAAGCAATTAGAAGAGTGGTATTCATGACTCAAATAATTTTGAATATTATCAAATTATTTTAAAAAACAAACAGCTAAGGTAGCAATTTTTAAGTCCTGGGCCATAAAAATCCTGATGCACTTACAGTTTATAGATCCCTATGCTATTATGAATCGGTTTAAGACATGACTTCAAAAAGAAACTTAGTGGTCAAAATGTATCCCAATTACATATGTGAAAGCCATCGGCACATACTGAAGAGTTGGTCTTTTCCACTGTGTTCTTCTAGATTCGTGGTTTACATAGTAGGTCCTTCCAAGAACATCCTGCCTCTCTTCCCATCCTGGAGGTAGAGGAGAAGGTTCTTGTTGCTGCTGCAAATGGCAAGCAGCATCTGGTTGGTCCAAAACAACCCAGCCAGGCTGAAAAACAGAATGTTAACAATTAAGTTTACGCTTGACTTTTTTACCCTTATAAATTATGCTAGAGGAAATTTAAAACGTAATTTAGCATATCTAGTTCCAGAAATTACACGAAGACAGAATAAGTACACTGTCAACTTTTAAGATCACAATGTGAATTTCCATGACAATGAAGACTTATTCTTAAAATGGTAACATTTAAATTTTGCTTGAAAATTTTTTAAATTTTCCAAAAATCTTTTTAAACATACCTAACAGAAAAAAAAAGGACAGAAAATACCAAACAAACAATAATGGAAAGCACTGAGAAACTGAGAAGCATAATTTAAACTAGGGTAGCCTTAGGCTGTTTTCTAAATTATAAGTAAATGAATGAAGGGCAGGGATCGTATTGGGCATTGTCTTCCCACAGAGAAAGTACCTTTTATAGGATGTAAATCAGTAGCTTTCCGAGACCAGAAAATAATATTATTAAATGAAGGTGCAAAATGTAGAGAAGTACAAGTGATTTAGAAATAATTGCTACAGTGAACTCTCTCGTGATTGAAAAGTTATAATGATTTTCCAGTCTGACTTTTCTCTTTCTCCTTTGGACCAAGGGAAAGCATTTCGGTCAAGTCAGAAAGCAGTCAAAGAAAGTTTTGTTTTGTTTGTTTTAAATGCCTGCAAGGCACTGGAAATTTCCTGAGAGGATCGAGGGGGTAAATATTATAAAGTCTTAAGCCAGGTAGTTAGAGTAAGGAATTAATGGGAAAGGGTAGCAAGAGTTAGTGACAGTCTTTGATACCATAAATGTAAAAACAGAAAAGGCAGCAGGTAAAAGGTTCACTAAATACTAGAATGGTTAGGAAAGCATAAATAAACTAGTGAAGAAAACGTACAAATTCCTGAATGAATAAAAAGACTTAGTATGATCTTGGCTAGGAAGACTCAATCACACACTGGTGTCAATTCTACCCAAGTTAATTTATAAAGTTGCCAAGATTCCAGTTAAACTACATTATGGATTTTTTAAAAATAATGAGGCACGGCAATTCTCAAGTTCAAATGGAAACACAAACACACAAGAAAAATTAGTAAAATTCTATGAACGAAGAGCAGCACATGGAGATTAGTTCTGCCAGATACAACATACTGAAAACCACAAGAATGAAAGCTGTGTGGCCCCGGAGCACGCACAAGAAGACAGCTCAACAGGATGGATTAGAAAGCCCAGGAAGAGACTCAAAATTGCAGGAATTTCGTATATGATGAAGACACTTTTCAAATGTGTGGGTAAATAGGCCTATTACCTAGAAAATTGGAAAAAATAATTTAGAGTGCTACCTCCTACCTTATACCAGGAAGTTACTGATTGTGCAATATTTAAATGTTAGAAAGTCAAATTAAAATGTATTAGAACACACCTGGAAGATTTTAAAAAATATAGTCTAAGAGTGGGAAAGCCATTGAGTATAATACCAAATCCAGAGCATAAAAGAGAAGATTGATAAATTTGATTACAAAACCCTCACATTTGTACATGGGAAAAACTACTAAGCTGAAGTTTAAAAATGACAAACTGGCCAACATTTGGTACTATGATAACAGACAAAAAATAATTTCCTTAATATATACAGAGTTTCTTTTCCCTAGGCACTGTGGACCCCACACTTAAGGACTGTTGTGGGTCCACCAGTTGATAGCTTAGAAGATGGAAGAGAATTCTTCTATGTTGAAAACAGGATCTGAAAATAAGGAGTCAGGAAGAAGAGCTGGGAAGGAAAGGAGTATTTTCTGGCAGCAGGGATTCCTACAAGGTTAATCTCTTACTGCGAGCTCTGGTGGGACTTACATATGGCCTGAGGGAGAACAGAAGGTGCGAGGTAGAGGGAGAGGAAGACGGAATTATCCTGGGAAAAGGGTGGTAGGTGGATGGGAAGTAGCACCGACTCCCTTTCCTTCTTACTCTTTGTTATGTTTTCCTTTTTACCTCTTCAATGGGAAACAATATCTCGTTAACTTTTAATTCCCAAACTCCATTCTGTTCCTTCCCTCTATCCTCTTACTTTTTCACTCCATCTATGTTTACCCTCCTTGTCTCTCTCTCCTTTCCTTTCCTTTAAATAATCATAGTATTGGATCTACATACCTGAAATTTAGTCTTGTATAAATTAAACCAAATTTAATTTCTCCAGTTTCAATTTCAAAAGCATGTGAGGTGGATTTTTGTATTGTACTCTCAAAAAAAGACTTAAGTATTTTTTTGTTGTTGAATTTGGTCATTATTTTTTGGCAAATTAATAACATTTATTAATGAAAGGGCCTTCACTACTGCTTTAAAGAACTGTAAAAATATTCACAGCTAGGAATATGGTACCAAGAAAATTTTAAACTCTTCTTAAAGATTTGTCTCTTAAAGGTCTGCTTATATAATTTCTGTTATCCAAGTAAATCCAAAGAGAGGAAAAAACTAATTAATTAAATTAAAAAAGAACCTTTTTTAAAAAGCCTGCTTCAAGTTTGAAAAAGTACAGTTGTACATTTTAACATTATTTAGAAAGACAGAGCTCTCATTTTTATATATCCCTCCCTATTAAACATGTATCAACTAATATTCTTCGCAGAATAATTTTCTAAGTATCAATGAATGTTACTTAATTACTAACTTCAAAGCTAAGATACAACTGCCCACAATTTAATGGAGTCAAAGGTCAGAAAGAAAGTGTTCAGAGCTACAACAAACACTACATGTTAATTTTGTAAAATATACCTAACCCTAAAGTTGCAAGGGGTACGAAAACCAAATGTTACATGATTATCTATATAGCCATACTATATCTTACTAAAGAATACCAACTGCCTTAGAGTAAGTCTCTTGTGAAGATTATAATTGTTTTCTTTAAGTAGTAGAATTGTGTATATTCAGTCACAAATTAGATGTCAAAAGCAAGACTTTTCTGGTCATTAGCTACACGGAATATAAATAAGCACAGATTCATGTGTTTGAATTCCTAGGGTCTTTCATAAATAAACTCCTACATGCTTACATCCACTGAAATTATAAGGTGCATTCTGAGGGAATTTCAACATTGAGACAGGAGACCACGAAGTGAAGTGAAGCGTCTCTGCCCGCAGAAACAGAACTGTGAATAAGGTGCCTGTGATACGGTGCGTGGGCAAAACTTGGAGCAGGTTACTAGATAATAAAGTGCTGTTAGCTTTTAAAAAGCTACTAAATAAAGAATTTTCTTTCTTTACAGCGGACAGCCTTCATTTCAAACAGTACTTTATAATGCAAAATATCCTCTGCACCAAAGTGCCAGAAACTTAGACCGAATAAATATCTTTAAAATTTTAAGTATAATAAATCAGAGAAAAACAAAAAAGATACAAAGATAAATTAAATAAGTGAATATAGACATAAGAACGGCTACCAAGTTCTTTGGGCACCAAACTAAGGGCTAATTATATTCTATGAGTCAAAGGACAAAGTTCTTTCCCTTATTTCAGATTCCCCCACAAAACAAAAATCTCATTTGTGTATATAAAAATTCCCAGAAAGTTCTGTTACAAAAGCACTGCTTATTCTCAAGCCTTCTCTCTCTTCTGAAGGTATGTGTGCTTGTGAGGTACAGCCCAGTCTTTGGGGAGGGCCCTCAGCTTCAGAGTTCTTCAGGATACCTAACCAGACCCCCAGGCAAAGAGGCATGGTGACAATGAACTGTGTGTTTTCAGTAAATGTCACTGAGTAAGATGCTATCTTTGATGATAATGTTCCTGCAATAGGAGCCTCAAGGGGCAGGTGTTCTTTGTCTTTTTTTTCAACTCCTGAATTTTTCTGCCAAAGAAACGAAGAAGCCCTCGATCTCAACTGGCACAACCTGGCTACTATGCAAATGAGAATCTGAGGTTCAGAGGAGTTCAGAGCTGGCTCGCAGCAGACCTTGCAAACAGGATTCCAGCATCCAAATCCCAATCCAATTCTATTCCAAAAACACAGTCTCAGCTTCTTCCTCATTCATCCCCGATACATGTAGTTTGGCCCAAATACTTGACTTGGACTTTCTCTTATCTTTTCATCCATGAAAATTGTTAAATTCTATTTGCCTCAAATAAATGTGGCTTTTTATTATATCACTCGAATTCTCTCCTTCCCTCTCTCTCACACTCTCCTTTCCGACGAGCTCCGTCTCCAACCATGACAGGAAAAGTAACAGGAATTACAGTTCATAAAAAGTTCCTCATTAGCAGAGTCACCTCAAAATTTCCATGTATTTAACTTACAAAGTGCTTTTACTTTGATGAAGAAGAACATGACATGGTTTAGAAAACCAAACAACTAGCAACAGTTAATGACTTAATTATAATAAATGCTCTCATTTATAAACATTGTAGTCTTTGTTCTCTAACCTTTAAGACTGCCATTAATAATGGCCATTCATTCCATAGAAATATCCGTAGAGAAAAGAAATGTTTAATAAATGCTTGGGTAAAATAAATAAAATATCCAGGTAAATAACTTTTATTGCATATTTTTAAAAATTTATTGATTTGAGAGAGAAAGTGAAGAAGTGGGGTGGGGGGGAGAGAGAGAGAGAGAGAGAGAGACAGACAGACAGACATTGATATGTTGTTCCACCTGTTTATGCACTCATTGGTTGATTCTTGTATGTGCCCTGACTGGAGATCAAACCTGCAACCTTGGTGTATCAGAATGATGCTCTAACCAACTGAGCTACCAGGTCAGGGCTTTCATTGCACATGTTAACTTCATTGTATAAAGTTACTTTTTCTTCACAGTATGCTAAAATAAGAAATTAGTTATTTCATGTTTAGTTTAACCAAATATTTATAAAATCTCACCTCTAATTCCTCAGCCTGTTCTGCGTTATCCTCTTCTGAGCCACTGGTTTTAGGTAAATAAGTCATTTTTAATCTCAGATAACCTTTAACTCTTGATTTGTGACTGTAGAAAAGAAAATAATTATTCATACAACTTTAACACTGGGATGAAAAGCATTCATTTACTAAGAATTTATTGAATACCCACTAGCTACTAGGGGAGACTTGAAGACAAGTTCCAGTGCAGAAAGTATCTTGGAAAAAGAATAAATAGTAGAGAAAAAGGAACATACATAAATAATTACTATGAGATAAATAAGATACTCAGGAAGTTTAAATAAAAGACTAGAGAGCATTTTAAAAAGAAGCTGGGTTTTGAGTTGGGACTTGAAGATTGAGGAGGATTTTGATCTGTGGCATTAATGGGAAAGGCATATGAGTGAAGAAAAGAGCAAAAAACAAGGAAATAGATGGGAAACTTAGGGTGCAACTGAAAAAATGGCAGTTGTTGAATTTGGCTGGATTACAGGGTACATAAAGGAGGTGGACATGGTGAGGTCCAGATGAAAAAAGGGAAGTCGAGATTTTATTTTTGCATGCTCTGTGAAGCCAGAGAATTTTGGGGATAAGGAAAGGCACCCTCAGAGATGTGCTTTCAAGATACTCATCTGGCCACATTGAATGAGATGACAGAAGAGTGAAGAGAAAAGCCTGATAACAATCTGGACCCTACTGCCTTTCTCTGACAGCTGTTCGAATCTGTCCTACACTAATTTACCTCATCTATTTTCATGTTGTATCACCTCTTTGAATAATGAGTTGTCTAAGCTAAAGGTTGCTACCAACTGTTTTAATATTTAAAATTTTAAACCTGTCTTTCTTAAGCTTCTAAATTGAGACTCATTGCCCTCATCAATTGTAACATCCTATTTACTTAAGAAATCTTTGCTTGTCTCACATTTCTATATAAATTTTTGGGTGATTTTTATAGATACCAACTATGTAGCTAATTAGTCTTTGTCTTTCTAAACAATAGTCCTCTTTTATTTTGTCTTCAAGAAATAAGCCTCCCCCTTGCCTCCCTTAAGCTTTTTAGTTGTCCTTCTGTGTATTGTTCTCATGGATTTGGAAAGTGGACATTTTCTAAGTGGTAAATAAAATCCCTGATGCTTATTTCCAACGCCACTAATGGTGGCCCGTCACCGTAATTAAGGGGTTGTGAACACTCTGACTTGTTGCTATAAAAGATAGATACAGAAAACTTGATCTGATAATGTTTTATAGAAGAGTTTCTCTACAATAGTTTGTTTCATGTCTTTCCATCTAGATAGTAAGTCTGCATGTTTGGACTTAATGGGGGTAAAAAAAATATCTAGGAATGTAGTACATTTTCTATCTGAATAAAGCTCTTTCTGCACTTGCAGTAATATCCAGTGCAGACAGAAGATGTAAATTGTTATAGTTTTTAAAGATAAGGATACTAGAAAGCATTTGGCAAATTGAAAAGCAGGCTACCAGGGCAATCACATAAGACAAGAAATATTTATTTTGTTATTCTTGGTATACAGATGTCACAACCACTGAAAATTAAAGAAAGAAAAGAGAGTAATATTCCAATGCTTCTATAGAAATTAAATATGTGACTTAGAGAAAGTAAATAGAGCACTGTGCCTTTTGTTTTAATATTTATATTACAAAGAGTAATTTTTAAAACTAATTTTAAATGAAAAAAATTGCTGAGCTCCCATAGTATGCTTTTCAAATGCATTTTCTAATTTTAAAAGCAAGACAGATACTGTTTTCACAGATGTTCTTCCTCTGCTTTACTCTGACCTTTTTGACAGTAAATCCACACACATGTCTTGACTGGATTTTACTTGACTAAATGGTACAGAAGATCAAAAGGAGTTTTATTTACAGCTTAAACTTTAGAATTTTGACAAAAATCAAGTAATTTAGTTTAGGAAAATGAAATTATGGGTTTTAAATTCCAGTCTTTACTCATGTTATTGTCTCTAAATATTTGAGTTTTATGAAATACCTTTTTTTATTAAAGTATGCAAATGTACTTAGGTTTTTCTGAAATTGGTTTTGTGCATGTCGAGCTGGATATGTTTTAGGTGAACTAACATTTGTGATATTTTTAAAACACATTATAACAAAATTACATATACTTTGTGATATAAATCAATATAAAATGACAAATTTTAGCCTTTTAGTCTGATAAGTATTAGGGAGACAAATCTTTCCCAAAGGGGTATGACCATTTTTTTTGTATTTTCAGAATTTTTTGTACTATGTATATATTACTTTGTAATCAGACATAACAATAAAGATTTTAAAAATAATAGAATATCTAGAAGTAGATTATTTACAAAGATTTAAACTTTGACTTTTCAAAGCAGCTACTATAAGGTATAATGAAGAAATTTTTTAAAAACTTAGTATGCTATTATTTTATATTTACTGACCTTCTTGGGTGAAGAACAAAATCCTTAAATGTATATGGTCTCTCCATTCTTGGATTTTCTGTCTAGAATAAAACAGTGGGTTTTCAAGATATATCTATAACACCAAAATATGAACTTTTCAAGAATATTCATGAACTATGGTCTAAGGCATAATTGAAGTTAGAAATGAGAAAAATGTAGCTTTAGATGAATGGTTGCAATCAACAGTGCTTTCACTTTCCTCCACCATAGGAATTTCAACCAGCATCACAACTCAGTCTAAAACAAGCTGAGCAGGTGTGTTGTGGAGCCAAAAATAGGGTAGGAAGTGAAAAAGCGGAAGAGTGGTAAGTGGAATATGCAATGTCAGAAAGCTGGCATGGTTGGAGCATAGAGACAACTCTAGGAGAATGAAAAAGCAAACAGCATGGAAAGTAAGACTGAATTCAATATATTATTAAAAGCTTGTCATCTCTGAAGGCTGTAGAGAGCCAATAAACGTCTCAAAAGGCTGATAGAGTATTACTTCTCTTCTTACCAAGTTCAGCAGCCTTTTGTTTTTATTATCCTTTTCTTCCACATTACATTTTGCATTGTTAACTACCAATTTGGTCATAAAACTCCTGAATTATCGTGACATTATTTTACTTGGTTCTTTTCCTGTCTCTCCTTGCCTGTCTTCTCTCTTTCCTCTGACAGGCCCACACTGTCCAAGGTTCAACGTCTGGACTTCAATGCTTTCATCTCTCTTGTCTGGAGAGCCAATCATCCTCAGAGATTCTGCTGTTACCTTGACAATGACAACTCTCATTCCTTCCCGTCCCTTTCCCCTACACAATTTATTTTCATATCTCTGTCTGCTCTCCACTCTAAGTTTTTGTTTTTCCTGTTTTCTATTGAAATTCAATATGGCAAAAAATAAATGTATCATATTTCGAAACAAAAGGGCTTTTCCTTCTAACTTTTCTACTTGAGTTACCACCCTTACCTCCCACATTCAACCTGTATTATATGTACTTTTTACTTATTTTTTAAACCCCTGTCAGAAACTTGGCCCAATATAGTTTTATTCTAAAATGTTTCCTAAATCTGTCTGTTTTTACTCCAGTGCTCTATGTTTAGTCCAGATTCAGTTTCATGCCTATATTGTTATAACGTATCTTAGTTTCCTTCTGTGAGCCTAGGCTCTCCCCATTACAGTTATTTAGCAGAACATTTCCAAACTGATCTTTCTCAAATACTGTTTTTATAACATCAACAAACTTCAATGGCTCCATTTCTTATTGGAGTTCATGTAAGGGAACCTTGATAAACAACTTAAAACAGAAAACTGAGATGTGTTTTCAGAAAATAATATACTCAAGAAATAATAGCAATATATATTTTAGAAATCAAATATTAATATTAATTTAATTTCTTAAAGTAAAAATAATAAACATAAAAAGTACTAACCGGTAATGGGTAAAGAGGAACATCCACTTGACCTAGGAAATCATCTCTTGTCTACAAGAGAAAAAAGAAAAAATAAGATTAGTAATACACTCAATCCTTTTTAAAAAATTTTGATGAACTACTGCCATCATTTACCAAAAAAGGAGAAGATTTTTTTGTTATTGTTGTTCAATCCTATATAATATGAATAGAAAATAAAAGGTAATATGATGTAACTTCTGGTAGTGGCATAATAGAGTATATTAGATTGATCCTTTTGCAGGTAATAATTATGTACTCTAAAAATATAAAAATAACTATTTGAAAGCACCACAGCCTGACCAAAAGCAGGAAGAAAGTGGAGGGGAGTCAATCTTGAAAGAAGGAACATATGGCTTTTCACCTGGGGGTACTCCACAGTTCATATGGAGAAGTGATTAGAACTTACACAGAAATCTGAAATCTAACTTGCTTGAGAGTTCAAAGACCTAGTTTGAGGTGAACAACATAACTGCAAAGTGAGGGGGACAATCCCTGAAAGGAAAAAGCCATAAGAGTCCCTCCAAATGTATATATAAACTCTACCCAAATTCCTAGCTCATTCTTTCTTTTTATTTTTTTAAGATTTTATTCATTTATTTTTAGAAAGAGGGGAAGGGAGGGAGAAAAAGAGAGGGAGAAACATCAGTGTGAGAGAGAAATGTCACACCTCCAACCCTGGACGGGGCCTGCAACCCAGGCATATGCCCAGACTGGGAATCGAACTAGCAACCTTCCAGTTCACAGGCTGGCGCTCGGTTCACTGAGTCACACAAGCCAGGGTCCTAGCTGATTCTTGAACTGCTGAACTGCACTGTGTAAGGTAATGGCTGAAAGACTGAAAGGACTGAACACACATTTCAGTTGACGTTCACCTGACAGGAGATAGCATTCTATTAACAACTTATTAGAACAAAAATCAAAACCCTTCAGGGAAAGATAACAAAATTCATCCTCTCCTTCATATACCACACACACTGTCCAGTATACAATAAAAAATGACTAAACATACAAAGAAATATGATCCAGTATCAAAGGAAATATAAAAAATAGAAACCAACCACAAGATGAGCCAAAATCTAGGAACTAGCAGACAAGGAAATTAAAACAACTATTATACAGATGTTTAGGGACTTAAAAGGAAAATAAGATCATAATGAATGAATGGATGGGGACTCTCAGTGAAATAGAAAGTCTAAAAATGAATCAAATGCGTATTTTATAACTGAAAAGTATATCTGAATTAAAGATCAGTGGGTAGGCTTAATATGTGATTGAAGATCACAGGAGAAAACTTATGTGAACTTGAATACATCCATAGAGTTTACCGTATTTTGCCGTGTATAATTTGCACCCATGTTTTTGGCCCAAACTTTCAGGAAAAAATATCTTTCATTTTACTTCAATTATTTATTTATTTATATCTAGAAACAAAACTGATTATTGTACTCCAGGGTATTATTTTGCATATGGACATCGTTACTGAGAGTTATGCTTTTAACGCATAAGCATAAATAAAAGAAAAGCATGTATATAGATATGGAATTAGTATTACCCATATATAATGCACATCCTTATTTTTCCCTCAAATATTTGGGCAAAAAATGTGCATCATACATGGCAAAATATGGTATATAATATGAAAAATAAAGAGCATTTGTGAAAAAAATATCAAGCAGTCAAGAGAGGGGGAATAGGGCAGAAGAGTATTTGAATAAAAAAGCAACAACGTTCCTCAAATGTAAAGATCTTACACAGAGATGACACAATGATCAAAACCAGGAATACTATTACTTAACCTATAGACCTTACTCTAATTTTGCTAAATGTCCCACTATTTTTGATTTGGGGTCCAATTCAGGCTCACACATTGCATTAATTGTCATGTCTGCTTAGTTTATTTTAATCTGGAAAGTACCTAAACCTTTCTTTGTCTTTTGTAGTCTTGATAATTTTGAAGAATACTAATTACAGAATGTCCCTCAGTTTGGGTTTGTCTAGTGCTTCTTCATGGCTGAATGTAGGTTACACATTTTGGGGGCAAGTATACTATAAAAGTAGTGTTTATGCTTTTAGTACATAATGACAGAAGGAAATAAACACTGAAATCTTACACATTATGGACAGTTAAGGACTACTAAATATTTGAGGGAAGTTCGTAACTTAAAAAACAGAGACCTAATCCAGGAGGCAAACAGAAAGAAGGCAGTCAGATGGATAAAAATCAAATCAGATTGTAGGAGAAGCACTTCAGAAAAACTATATTAATATTCTCGGACATAAGAGATGACACATCTGTAAATCAGACTAGGAGGCCATAAGAAAGAAGCAAAGAACAAGAAAGAGCACTTAAAATTAAAAATATAACTAAAATTAAAAGTTTAAGACAGAGTTGGAAAAAATTTCTCAGAAAGTAGAACCAAAAACAAAACTTTAAAAATTTCTACAATGAGAAATTCCCAAATAAGAAAACTAAAGGATACATTTTAAAATTAACATCTAAATAATAGTCATTGTAGGGAGAAAAAAAGGAAAGGGAGAAAATTATTAAAGAACTATTTTTAACTTGGCTTGAACACAAGGAAATGAATTTTGAGTGAATGGCCTCACTGAGTATTAGGCAAACCGTATGAAAAAAAGACCCACAGCAAGGCACATCATTGTGACATTTCAGGGCACCAGAGATAAGCAATTCTCAATGTTTTGAGAGACATAAAACAGATCATACCCAAAACTGAAAGACAAGAGACATTCCTCCAAAGGTATGAGAGAAAGATATTTCCTACATAGAATTCTATACCCAGACAAGCTATCTGTGTCAATGATAAAGAAAGAATAAAGACATTTTCAGACATTGGTGTTACAGGAATGTAATGGAGGATGTATTTTCCCAAAATGAGGGAGTTCACCATGATAAGGGCAGATTCAAAACAGGAGAGGTGCAAAGAGGATACTCAGAATGACAGGGAAGGGAACTCAGAACAACAGCAGTGTAAGACACACAGAACACTACAAGGGCTGCTTCTAGATAAATAGGAATAATCCTATCTACATAATAGGATTTTGTTAGAATTAAATAATATATATATAAAGTGCCTAATACTCAGCATATGGTAAGCATTCAATAAGTATAAGCTATTATATTTGAAATGATGAGTTCTGTAATGAACTCCTTGCTCCCTTTTCTCTGGAACAGTCTGCAGAAATTTCTAACAGGCATGTACAATAAAAGGAGCATGGCTGGAGATTGAAGTTTAACAAAATAGCTTAGTTTAGGGCCATATTCCTATTCCAGGGCAGGAGTTGATGGTAATTTTTGAAATAGTGAAGTTAGCTTTTAATTATACTTTCAAAGCTGTGCTATGATGTTTTTCTTTATTCCTCTATTTATCACAAGTAGATGTTTTACTCCACAAATCTGATACTGAATAAGCTTTATGTGAGGAAATAAAATATAACAAAACATAGTAAAATCTCAACCAGAATGACTGGGGAATAAAATATTTTGGTTAGTTGAATTATCTAAAAGGTTTAGGCTTAACCAGATAAAGGAATAAAACACTTTTGTTTTTGATTCAGTCTTATTGAATAACCTTGCCCTTAGTAAACTGAATAAAAGGAACACCTATCTGTTTGATGATTCATAACCTTGCAGCGCTTCGAAAACATGGATGTGATCTATGACTTGAGTAATGAAGGTATAGAACCAGGTTTCTCAAATTGGGCACCACTGACACAATTTTAGCCAGATAGTTCTTTTATTGTGAGGGCTGTACCATGCATTGCAGGATGTTTAACATCATCCCTGGACTGAGCCCACTAAATGCAGTCCCACTCCTCCTCCAGTTGTGACAACTAAAAATGTCCCCTGGCATTTGCGCCTAGGTGGTAAAACTGTCCCTGGTTGAGAACCACAGGTAAAGAAGATATAAGACAGACTGCCTCAACCAGTGATCAAAACATTTCACCCTTTTAAATAACAGCTTTATTGAGATATAGTTAGCATCCTATACAATTCACCCACTTGAAGTGAACAATTTTAGAAAATTGTCATTACCTCAAAAAGAAAACCCATACCATTTCCTCTCTTTTTCCTCTGGCCTAGACACCCACTAATCTACTTTCTATCTCTATGGATTTGCCTATTTTGAGCATTTTATATAAATGGAATCATATAGTATGTAGTGCTTTATGCCCGACTTCTTCCACATACCATAATATTTTTGGGGTTCATTCATGTTGTAGCAAGTATCAGCATTTCATTCCTTTTTTTATTGCTGAATAATATTACTTTGTACAGGTATACTACATTTATTTATCCATTTATCAGCTGATTGACATTGAGGTTTCCATTTTTGGCTAGTATAAATAATGCTGATATAAACATTCAAGTACAAGTTTCTGTGCTAACACATGTTTTCATTTCTCGAGGTTATATACTTAGAAGTGGAATTGCTGGGTCATATGGTAACTCTGTTTAACCTTTTGAGGAGCTGCCAGACTTTCCAAAGCGGGTGCACCATTTTACCTTTGCACCAGCACTATGAGAGTGTTTCCATTTCTCCAGATCCTTGTCAACATCAATTACTGCCTATCTTTTGGATAATTGCCCTCCTACTGTCTGTGAAGTGGTATTTCATTGTGGCTTTGTTTGCATTTCCATAATGGCCAATGATATTGAATATCTTTTCATGTGTTTGTTGTGCTCCTCATTTCTTAAAAACTTGTAACTTATAAATCTTCCCTATTCAGTCCTCATTGCAGAGACAGTGCCTAGTCACTGCAGGACAGAAAGAAAACATTTAATCCCATATATTGTTGCTCCATACTCCTTGTTCATTGATTGATTGCATTCTGTGAATAAAAGCATGTAACAAAAATCTCATATAATAAAAATTTCCATGTCTCAAGCAATTCTGGTATATACAAATATATTTCAAAAATTTGTTGCAACTCATGTTCTTTACATCTTCCTTCTTTGAAACAAGTGATCTGGAATGAGTTTCTTAACTTCTACTGTAAATGAAATGATC